ATATATCGATTATTTTGCTCTTGAACTTTCGATGTGGGATGACACTCTAACAACAAACACTTTTGATTTTTAAAAATAATATAGAGCACAATTATGAAATATATAATACCTAGAAAATACCAACACATTACAACCACAACGTAACATAATTGTTGAAATGTAAGTATTTTTGTAATACTTTTCTTACTCATATTTAACTAGCTATTATGACATTTATGACCTATCAAAAGTGAAATTAAACATAGATATACAACATTTCTGCATATAAAATTTAACTTTTGAAATATTACAAATCAAATGATGATCACTTAGATATCAATAAAACGTGTTTTCATTAATGCTTTAACCATGGGCATTTTCTATGGTAAAGGCAGCTTTATTTGAAGAGGCAAAGGCAAACAGAGGGTGGGTGTGGCATTATTTTCATCATCAATTGGGTCTCCTACAATTTGACCTAATCTCCCCATTTGACCCGGTCAAAGGGCTAATATTACCCATTTTAATCATGGACTGGGCAAAGTTCTGAAAGAACGTTGCCTGGTTCGAACTGAACGTGTTGACCAGTGCCACGGTCGCCGCCCCGGACGTCGAAAACAGCTCCTGGTCGGACTGGAGGAGCCCGTTGTTGCCCTGCAAGTTGGAGAAATAGTTGTTGTCGAACCCGTCCGGAGTCGTCGGGTCGAGGTTGGTGACCGTGGACCCCGGCCCGTTTTGCGGACAAGTCTGTTGCAGCGTGGCTAAGTAAGTCGCGTTCAGGGTCGGGTCGGGTTGGCCCGTGTTGCCGAAGTTGTATAGTCTGCTGCTGAACGTGGCACACCTTGCACGTCCAAATGTATGTGCACCTAATTAAACGTAACGTAACTATCATTCATTAATAATAAGGACAAAAATACACATGCATGCACAAATAAATAAACAAATATATAGACACACATACCAGATAAAGCGACAAGATCATTAACGTTCAATCCAACGTTAGAAAACTTAGAGGTAATGTTTGTCAAGCCATCAAAGGGAGCTGGAATTGCAGTGTTAGCTAATCCTTGGTTTGCATTTCTACTGTCTCTTCTCCCTAACAACACATTCCACGTTGGACCCCCAGCCTACAATATTATATTCATGCATGCATCATATTATGCTTTCAAGCAAATACTTAGTAAAATACCATTCAATAATAATTGATTTTATTGAATAACGAGAGTTACATAAATATATATAGAGAATGCATATGCAGAGAACTCTAATCAAAGTAGAATACTGAGTATTTGTCTAGTTTTTAATTTTTTCCTCAGTTAACTATTTTCAATCTTTGACCTATTTTTAAATAAAACTATATGGTATATGAATTAAATCTAATAAAAAAATTTGTATCAATAATATATATAGAAATAATACGTAGTATCAATTTTATTTAGTTAATAGTCAAAAGTTATCAATTTTGATTGTAAAAAGTCAAAATTGAACAAATTCTCAGGAACATAGACATAAATAATTATGGTAAAAAAAGAATAATTACCATAGAGACTGCGGCTTGGGAAGCAAGAGCAAGAATATCGGCGCATGAGACGACGCCCGGGCAAGCGCTCTGAACCGCGGACTTAATGTTGTCCACGACATCAAAACCCCTCGCGGAGTTATTGGCGTTTGGAGCCGCGTCTTTCTCGCTCACAATTGTCGTTCCGTTGTTGTCTAACAAAAGCGACCCATCACATCCCTGCACCATACATGCAAAACCACCAATGATCACGCTTTAAGTTCTTGAGTTAAACTAGATAACTGACTAAAATTAACTTTTCTTTAAACATGATCCATCCTAAGTAATTAAGTTTTAAAAGGTGACCGAAAAAAGTCAAATGAAAAAAAATAATTTTCGAACGAAGAGAGTATTGTTATAGACATTACATTGACGAAGCAGTCGTGGAAATGGAGACGAATGAGGCTGGCGCCGATGCGGGGATCGTTCCGGGACGCCTGTTGAATCACACTACTCACAATTGCAGACACATTGGAGCATGTGTTTGAGTAAAACGTTGCACTTAGCTGAGCCTCTGTAGATTCACTCAAGAAGAAGATGATGAAGAAGAAGAGCTTTATTATAATTCCCAAAGTGGTGGCCGCCATTGCCGGCGAGCTGCCGGAACTCGAACGGCGGCTAGCCATTTATATTTCGAAATAATATTGAAAAAGGAAATACGTATTTCTCGTTCAATATAATTGTAATTATATTCGTATAGTTTTGGAGTCGTAATATATTGAAAGCTAAGATATGCATGCATTTATATAGTGGAGAAGAAGGTACGCATACGTATATAGTGTATGTACTCCTTACTCGTTTACTTTTCAGCCTCATCTTTATATTTAATTGAAATAATTCTCTCCAATTTTAATTCTATAGTTTAAATTTTGTGCACCCAATTGAGAGTTAAAAAACACAACTTTTTTACGGAGTACATTCTAACATGCCTTTGACGTGCAAGCGAGGCAAATTTAGTCATTGATAATTAGATTTAAAATCGTGATAATTTCTCAGACAACAAGGCTCTCTCACAGTATCTGGATCAGAAAATAATTAAACTCAACCAAAAGCTGAAACTTGAATTGGAAGGTACAAGAATGTTTTTATATTTACTCTTACACGTTCTCCACATGCAGGTGATATCTATTTCTTTGAGGGTTAGAACACGAGAATATAATTTTTTTTAAATCAATAAAAATGAGATTCTAAATCGCGACTTCTAGATCAACAAGGCTCGTTATATTGTCATAACTGTAATTATAACTACTTAATCAAAAGTTAAGACTTGTGATTGTAGTTCGATGGAGAATCATTTGTTTATATTCAAAATAAAAATCTTAATACAAAGAACAAGTCAATGGGAAGACTGAATAAGTAGTGTATCAACTATCAAGTTGCAAGTACTTTTAAGCTTTGATTGCTATGAGTAAGCGGTTGAGGGAAAGCCAACCCTCTCCGTCCATCATAAATGACTAAGTTGGAAGGGCTCAGTCAGACTCGTTTCAGTTAATTATATTTAGAAAAGGCTAATTCAAGCTTAACTCTGTTATTCTAAAAAATGTTTTTTTTTTAATGTAAGACTTAAAACTTTTTATTCCTCATCAAGTTGTATTTGAGTAATATCTAATGTCATTGGACATGTATTCGAACAATGCCTAGTGGACACTGGACAATGGTAATATATGGTACTACTTTAGAAATTAACTATGTTTTAGTACTATATAAGTAGATTTCTTAGATAAAAAAATATAGGTAAATTTTTCTTAAATATTTGTTTAATTTAAATTATATTTCATTTTTGTATTCATTTCCATTATCATTCATAAGTTGTACTCCCTCCATTCTTGAGTATTTGTCTATTTTTAATTTTTTTTCAAGCAAAATTGACAAATTTTGACCATAAATTAAATAAAAGAGATACGAGTATTAGATAATGATAAAAAATAATTTTATTAGATTCATTGAATAAAATATTTTGAAAAATTTTATTTGATCGAATTAATATAAGATATATATTTAATGATCACTCACATCTTACGTGTGTCATTTTATTTTTCTTAACCCAAATTTATAAATGTTTAATTTTGGAAAAAAGCTTTAACCAGAGGTTGATTCAGAGCCCAAATTTTAAAGGAAGTGGTGGGATTTGGGCCAAAGCCCAAACGCAACATCACAATAACGACAGCGAACTTCCTCCGTCTCCTCAAATTTATGGGGCCATGAATTGGATCAAAACCAGCCATGACCAGTCCAGCTTCTTCTTGCCTATTCAACTGTAGCCAACCAATGGGAAGAAATTGGAGCTTTATTGTTTCTTTAATACTACTTTTGTCCTTGATTATTTGTCCAGTTTTGATTTTTTCTTGTCAACTATTTTTAATCTTTAACTTATAATTAAATAAAATATATATTGTACTTTAATGAAATAAAATAATATTTTGAAAATATTTGATATAATAAATCTCAGAAAACTTTTTTTTGTATCAATATCTAATATCATTTTTACTTAATTTGAGATCAAAATTTACCAATTTTGACTGAAAAAATTAAAAGTAAACAAATACTCTGGGACGGAGGAGTACGAAGAAGGCAGGCGTTACTAAAAGGGAGGCAAACAACATGACAAAATATAAGCCTTCTCCATGTAGGCCCATTATAAATGAGAGAAAGTCCACATTCTTACATGCATACTTTGATCAGGAAAGCACAACTTTATAAAAGCAAAAAGTAGCTTCCCTTATTAGCAAGGATTTATTTTTAGACACCTCATAAAAGATTTCGTAGAAATGAATTACAAAATTGATGGTTCCTACCTCTTACCACCTCTCAAAACCCTCCACACCCCTACCCCATCCCAACCCCTGCACCTCTACCCTAGATCCCCTTTTACCCCCTCCAAATGTGTGGCTATTATGCAATGCATAATAACCACTATTTGTGATTATTATCACTGTTATTTCTCTAGCCGATTAAGATCCCTGTTTTTTTAGAATGAAATTTTAGAATTGGATGTTGCAAGGAACTGGAAAGAGTTAGAGTAAACTGAAAGAAAACTAGAAAGAGTTGAAAAATATTTGAAGAATTAAAGTATTAAAAAGTCATTCAATTAAATTATCGCCCAAATAAATAAATATGATAGAGGTGATATGTTATGAATTAAGATATACAATGGTATTCTGTATTAATTCTATACAAATACTATTTTTAAGTCATTGTTGGAAGAAACTGAAATAAATTGGAAGAGCTTAGAAGAAATTAAAAGAAGTCAGAAGTTAATGTTTCCAACGCAAAAGAAGAGGGACTAAATTAAAGTAGTGTATTTTTTTGGCATTATGTTCTAAAACTATTAGTCCTGTTTTAATACTCCATAGAAAGTCATTGAATGTCCTAATTTGATACTCCGTGTAAAATAGTACAGTGTGTATGTTTTAGACCTTAGGTATTTCTTGCATGCAAATTATGTTGCATATTAATATAAAATGTAATAACCACATTAGATTTATATGGCAGAAAACTACCAAAAGATTATTTCATTCTTTTATTATATTTATTCAATTGATGATCAAATGTCATTCAATTCGAATCTACTTGAATGAAAAAAGTCAAACGCGTACACGTATTAATTTCGGAGACGGCAGTTTTTCCTAATCTCTCCATCAGTTCCGGTCAAAATGCCAATATTTCCCATTTTGATCATGGACTGAATAAAGTTCTGAAAGAACGTTGCTTGGTTTGAAGCGAATGCATTGACCAGGTTAATAGTTGTCGCACCGGATGTCGAAAACAGCTCCTGATCAGATTGGAGAAGCCCATTGTTGTTCTTCAAGTTTGAGAAATAGTTGTTGTCGAACCCGTCAGGGGTTGTCGGGTCAAGGTTGTTCAGATTAGACGACCCAGACCCATTTTGTGGACAAGCCTGCTGCAAAGTGGCTAAGTATGTTGTGTTGAGGGTCGGGTCGGGTTGGCCCGTGTTGTTGAAGTTGAATAGTCTGTTGCTGAATGTGGCACACCGTGCGCGTCCAAACGTGTGCGCGCCCGACAATGCGACAACATCGGTGCTGTTCAGTCCAACGTTTGTGAACTTCTGAATGATGTTTGTCAAGCCTTCCGTTGGAGCAGGAATTGAAGTGTTTGCTAACGACTGATTTGCATTTCTACCGTCTCTTCTTCCCAACATGACAGTCCACGAAGGACCACCGGTCTGTTTTCATAGTATGTGTAAAAGAGCACTAAAACTCAATTCATTTCTCTAAGTAGCACTTAAACTGTTTTATTCTTTAAACAGCATGCACTTAATAATATCCATAATGTCTAGAGATGATGAATATTAATTACTTGAATTATGACTATTGGATAATGACTAAAAGTGCTACATTTGGGAAAAAAACACATGTGATGCTATTTAGGAAAAATCATTATGTTTTAGTGTTATTTACCCCAATCAAAAAAACTTTTTTAGGAAGGGTGAATAAAAATAATGAGAGGGAAAGTAAAATGGAACTAATAATAATTACCAGATTGACGGCGGCTTGGGAGGCAAGAGCGAGAATGTCGGCGCACGAGACGACGCCGGGGCAGGCGGTTTCGACGGCGGACTTGATGTTTTCCACCACGTCGAAACCCCTAGCGGAGTTAACGTTGGGGGCAGCGCCTTTCTCGCTCACAATCGCCGTTCCATTGTTGTCCAACAAAATTGAGGCGTCGCATCCCTGCATGCAATGCATGCAAACACGTGGACGTTCCATAATTGGTACACGAATTAATTCATCTAAATAAACTTAGATTTCAGTTCATAAATACGAGAATGGGAATTCAAAGGAGAGAGGATTTTATGAATTTGTAATTGTATTTTTTTTTGGAAATTAGAGGAATTTGACTCAAACCTAACCTTTTGGGTTTAAAATATAACTCGAGTCAAACTTGAAATTGTGATTTAAAATTGAGATCTTACGTTGACGAAGCAGTCGTGGAAATGGAGACGAATGAGGCTGGCGCCGATGCGGGGATCGTTCTGGGACGCCTGCTGAATCACACTACTCACAATTGCAGACACATTGGAGCATGTGTTTGAGTAAAATGTCTCACTTAGCTGAGCCTCTGCAGATTCACATAAGAAGAAGATGAAGAAGAAGAAGAGTGTAGCTATAGAAAGCATGGGAATAACCTTCATTTTGAGGGAGAGGTTTTAATTTGCTAAACGATCTATTAATTGTGCAGTTATATGTTAATAATAATTAAAGTCACTCGAGTTGGATAGTGAGTACATATGTATAGTAGGTACTATATATAGTTAGTGGAGTAAAAAATATACTCCCTTCTCTCTTTGAAAATCTTTCTGTTTTCATCCATTTCAATTTTTTTTATCATTTCCATTAAAGAATTACTTTTATTCTTACTAATTCTTAACATACATATCAAATCAAATCTATTCACTATTTATTTACCCATTAAATCTTACTTATATCTATCACATCTAAAGATATTTTTAAAAACTCAGTAGCAAAATACATTCTCTTAAAATCTCATAAAAATCAAAACATCTCATGTTTTCAGATTCAAAAAGAAGAAATGGAAAGGGATAATAATTTGTACGCGGTGAAGAAATGGAAAGGGATAATAATTTGACTTTGTGTTTTACTAATAAGTGAACTAATTAGTCAAGAATTTGTGAATGAAATTAACAGCATGTGCATCACTTTCTCAAAGTCTCTTCATTCTTCTTTTTTATTGGTGGAAACAGGGGCTCATCTATTCCGAGTAGACCTGACAATCTGGTCAATTGGTTCGATTCTAGTTCGGATCTTTTCAGCTCGGGTATCTTTCGGATATAGGTTCAATTCGGTTGGAGTATGGGTGTGGAGGATAGAGGCGAGGGCAAGGTGTACGTGTAGAAGTTTTCTTTCGAAAGCATTTTTCATAGAAAATATTTTCCGATCACTTGTGCAGGTATTACTCAGAAAATTGAATAAAAAAATTTAAAAAATATTTTTCTTCCAACCAAACACACTCTGGAGTACTAAGTTTATTAGAGTTAGGAAACCCTAATATGCCTTTGAATTGGTCGCCAAGTGGGCATGTCTGATCAGCACGTACGCTACCTCGTCTCCTTGGGTCGGTGATCCGTAATGTTATGAGTATGTTAAATGCATTGCATATATGTGGAAGGACATTATCCCAACAAAATGTATTGCTTAATTAGTAATTAACCCGGAGTAATTAAATTTTTGTGTCAACTTATATATAATGGTAAAGTTGTGAGTAATTTAAAAGATCATCAAGATTAAAGTCACATCGTCAAATAAAAAAACTAAAATTATTTTTTAAAAAATAGAGTAACAAATTTAAAGATATAATTAAATGAATACTTTAACATTTCAATAGTTACAGTATAGTTTGAGATTTTTTTATTCTCTTTTTTTAAGAGCTCATCTCGTATCATTTTGAAAATAATTTGTTATATATTACATCCTCCGTACTAAAATCATTTGAAAACTCATTTTTGCATTTACTACCATGTTTGATACGGTTCAGAATAATACTCGTTCCGCCCACCAATAATTTTTAGAGTAATGATTAAATTACGAAGCAGTCAATAATGCGAAAAACCCCGGTACGTGCATTTTCTCTTTTTTTCGAAGTCTTCGTGATTATGAAATAAATCTCCTTAATCCGCGGGAATAATTTACAAGAGGGTTTTATGCTTTGAAATTTGTGGAGAAACTAAAAATAAGTATTCTGTATTCAACGCATAAAACCCTCTGGTAATTTGTTCCCGCGGATTAAGGAGATTTATTTCAATTAAAGAATAATTATATAACTCATGGGTAAATTGTGCACTTTTTAAAGTTCAGGGATAAACCGTGCAATTTTCAAATAGTTCGGGGATAAACGGTGCATTTTTCTCTTTTTCGAATGGTAGTGCAAATTGCAAACCAAGCCTTTTTCAATCTTTTGCTCTCTAAAATAAAATCACACTTGTTTTTGACATTCCAAAACTAGTCACATACTTACACTTTCACTTTTTTAAATGCATCTCACATTCTTTGCATTTTCATTAATTTTAACCATTCATTTAACTTCGTATTATATATTATATATATAATCTCCGTCCAAAAATTAAAAGTATATTACTCCGATCCCTCCGTATCATTTGAATCTTTTCGATCCATGTTACAAAGTTTGACCAACTTTATTTTCAATTTAATACATTTGAATGTAGGTGTAAAATTAAAAAATAAAACTCATATATTTGAAAACTACGTCAAAAGATCTAGAAAGCTAGATGTGACATGATTATTTTATTTTATCAAATGAGTAACGAAAATAAGAAAACAAAATTAATAAAGTTTGACCATGTAAATAGTGTTCGTAGAGATTCAAGCTGGACGAATGGTGTACTATACACTGTATTATTTAACTATTGGTCAAGTTATCAATTAATTTTTTTTGCAAAAAACATGTAAATAATACTCGTAAGTAGTACGGGGTATGACTTTAATTTTGAGATGGACATATTTCAAGTTAATGGGAGAAATATAATTTATAATTATAGTTTAGCATGGGAGAAATATATATAGTCTATAAATAATTATTATAGCTTAACTTCCTCTAATTAGTACTTGACCAATGAATTTTTTACACGAAGTAATTGACCAAGGAATTTTTTTCATCAGTAACTCTTTTAAAATTGCATGTGCTTTTCTAACTAGCTAGAATTTTAAAGAGACTTTAGACGCCGGCAAACATGGATCGTCCCACCGGTAAGTTAAGATAAGTTCCCTAGCTCGGCGCGTCCCTTAATTACGGAGTACAATAATCACTTTTTTTCTTTGTATATGTTTTTTCATTTCTACATAAATGTTTTCATATACTCCGTATATTTAACACAGTTATCATTGAAAACCTCTATATATTAGGCTATGTAGTATGATTGAGGATTAATAAAATTTGATGAGGTGTCATGTAAGCACCATACAAGCGGATCAATGCGCATAAAATATGTGTGGTATGGGTACTTGATCACAATCGACCGATGAAGTGGGTGTCCTGGATTATTTTGATGGATTGAAGTGAGTGTGTACTGGATTTTAATAACGTGTGAAATAAAAATATAAAAAAAAGAAAGAGTGAGCGGTTACGTCGTGATGTCAGTCACCTGAGGGGGTGATGCATGCCTGTGAGAGGCGGGTGGCCAGTATGGGAGGGGCGTGAAGGAGGATAGGAACGCCTCTCTTCATGCCCCATACTCGTTGGCCGCCTTAGACCTATGAAGTATGTATATATGTAACTAATGAATCCTTCTATTTACAATGGAAGCAGGAAAAAAATCCCGCCTAAACTTCTGGGCCGGTTACTGTAGCTATGGGCCGTTTTTTTTGCATTTCCAAACTTTTTGGGTCTGATCAATTTTTTGATAAAAAAACTGTTTTTCAAGTGCATCCCACGGCCTTTTTTTATTTTAGTAACCAATTGTAACATTTAATAAATATATTAAATCAGTAAAATATCTAATAAACTTATTTAAAATCAATATTTTACAGAATTACTTTAACATATTACTGAGCTTTATTTGTGCAAACAATAATTATACATTGAAAAAAGTTTACAGTATTTTTTTGATTTTATAAATATTATTATTACAAAAAAAAGAATGCTTATATTAATGCAACCAATAATTGAATCAGAAGCTTCATACAAAAAAATTGAAAAAGAGAAATATAAACCCACAACCACACTTCACACAATTTTAGGAGAAAAACTGCTATTATTAAATTAAAATAAAAAAAACCAGCTCACTTTGTAGCCAGTTCCCCACTTCATACGTATACAACTGCCCACTATGCCTGCACCATAGCCTTATAAATGCAGGCCATTCTCCTTTGCTTCCACAAAATCTCACATTTACACATTCCTACAAAAAAATCACAATGTCAAATGAATCAAGCAGAGATGGAGGTCTGTGGTGCGATTTGAAAGATTTGGACGACGATAAAAAAGAGAAGGGAATTTGTGTTAGAGCCGTTCGGGTTTACGACTTACCCACCCGTGAAGGAAGGCCAAGCACAATAGAAGTGATTTTTCATGACTGAAAGGTAAACACTTTAACCATGTAGATGCACATTTCAATTTTTTGTAAAAACCTTTTTTGCAGTCCTTAAAATATTTCAATAAAGTTATTTATTATAAACTGTGTATTAACATGCCTGAAATTTTGCAGATGTGATAGGAAAAGTAATTGCAAGGACTAGAATTCAAAGTCGATTTGTTCTCAGAGTTCCACAGAGATTCATTGAGCTAACTTTGGAAGATACAAGGTTATGCTATGTCCTCTAGAATGTATATTCAACTGAACTCTATTTCTAATGTAAAGTTACCAATATTTGGTTTCATAGGGGCCAACAACTACGGTGCACTCTTTGGGGAGACTACATTGAAAAGTTTAATGAATCTGTTGGTGCAGGGATCACAAATCCTATCCTAATCGTGTAGTTCGGCCGCCCAAAGGAATACATGAGTACCAATCTATGTTGCACTAATTTGATTAGAAAAAGGCATATAGGTTAACAATCAGAGGTAAATGTAATAAGGTACTGAAACATACTACAGGTTATTCGAACCTGTTATTCATGAATCTCATGCGCCGAAAGCTTCCTACAGATTACAAAATAGGTTTTAAGAATATGTTTTATAGAGAGTAAATAAAATATAGATAAAATATACAAGGTATGTTTACCTTTTCTGTTCTCGATAAGCACACATATACCATAAGTTCCTGAATTAAACCAATAAGTTAGATTTTAGGGTATGGACTAAAAATTAATAAATGTGTTAAAAAAAGATAGGGGTTTGAACTTATCTAGAATCTTTGGACCGAAATTAACAGCATCCCCTGTATTAAAAATGAATATACAACATTCAAATGTCAGCCATATTTTTGGTTCATTTTATTTAATATTTTTTGAGAATATTAATTAAATAAGTTAAAACTAAGCAGGCATAGCTAGGAATCTCTGACTTCTAGACCATTAATTTCTTTAAGCACTGAGAGATATAGTATTCGTAAATGCAGGTGCTCAAAATTTTAAATATATTGTTGTGTGTTTGAAAAAATTTGTAGATCTCGGACCGAGATTCAAATATTAAAAAAAATCAAAACCCTTTACATCTGCACTAGATTAAATACTTCACCCGAAAAGAAAAGCTCATTTGACTTTTATTAAATACAAGGACTAATTATATGCATGGGCTTAAAATTAAAAATATTATGTTGCATATTTGAAAAAAAATTGTAGATCTCGGACTGAAATTCGAATATAATAAAAAATATTTATAAACCCATCGGCCAAGATAATATATCTTAGATTAACAAAAAACACCAATGAAAAGTACTCATCTCGAGCCATCGGCATCACAGAAAAATTATTCTGTTAGATCATGAATAAAAATCGAAGATCTTGGGACTCGACGCAAAAAAAACACAGATAACGCACATGAACCCTTCGGAATGTACCTAAAGCTCAAATAAACACATAGTAGATCTATTACCCAAGAAGATTCATTAGTGAAGACCTTGATAATAGATCCCAGACTTCATCTTCGTATAGAATCGGTCTATGTAAAACACTAAAAACATGACAAAAAACAAAAAAAAATAGGAAAAATCATCAGGAATCAAATCAAAACATAGAGAGAGATTAATCCAAAAGAAAAATCAAAGTCTCGAAACCGAGGCTTCAGTTTCTCATCGACACGATGAACACGAAACAAAAAAATCAAACTACATAGAGAGTGATTATTCCAAAAAAAAAATATGTCTCAAAACCAATGCTTCAATTTCTCATCGACACGATGAACACGAAACAAAAAAAATCAGAAAATAGACATGAAGAAGATAAATTTGAATATGTTAGAGATAGAAGAGTAAGAGAGAAAGAGAGAGAGAGCGAGAGAGACGGAGACAGAGAGAGAAGCGGCGTATGGAGGGGGCTGGTATAAATATTAAGGGTTTACTCCGTATTATTTAGGGCTGGGTTATGGGCTTGGTGTAGTATGGGGTTATGGATGGCGGGCTGGGATGTTACATTGGGCTGGGTGGGCTGGGCAATTGGGTTAGATTATTTGTTTGGGTAAGGAAATTTATACACTAGATAATGTAGAAAAAACATTTTATGGCATTTATGTAATATTATATTCTAAAATTATAATTTAATTTTAAATATATTATATTAAAACACATTGATATTAAACTATGAATGTAAATCTTTATATTATTTAAGAATACTAAATTTTAATGGTAGATTGTTTTTCAGAAAATGAACGGGTAATTCGATCAAAACCATCATCAAGGGTTTTTGAGTTCAATTCGACCCGTGGATGCAATATTGGTCAAACAAAATCTGCAAATTTTACTCATGGTATATGTACTTTAGTTTCAATTAATATATATTTTACATAAGTTTAATGTAATATTTTATTACTCTTTTTTTAATGATTTTTAATATTTTCAAGAACATCAATTAATACACCTAATTCTTTGCGTCCCTTGCGCTCAATTGATACGAATTCTACAAATTCTAACTTCCGATGCTATCAAGAATCTGAACGTCAATCCATGAATGTAGCTAGAAGTGGTGTTGACCCTAATCTGAAAGATAAAGAAAAGCTCTGCAGTGCGAATAAAGGATTCCTTTCAAGTTCCAAAGGAAACAATTTCCTGTCATGACTTCTTATGCAATGACCATTAACAAAAGTCAAGGTCAATCATTATCGCATGTTGGGCTACTACTTAAAAAACCAGTCTTCAGTCACGGTCAGCTATATGTTGTTCTCTCCCGTGTGACGAATCGTGAAGGACTGAAGATCCTATGCTGTGATGAAGAAAACAATCCTTTGGACTACACTTCAAATGTTGTATATAAAGAAGTCTTCCAGAATTTATAATGCATTCTTATATGTTTAATTTATTTATGTGTAATGCACTCTTATTTGATCTAAAACTATAAAGTGCATTGTTGTTCGATAAATGCAGTATTCGGGTGTGATATATATTCAATTGTATTTTTCATCACAATAACTCGATTTAAAACATTTATTCTTTCCAAAAATAAAGTGATTTATTATTATATTATTCTGACCGTGCATCGCACGGGTAAAATCTAGTGAATACAAACACAACACAAAACACTTTTTGGACAATACATATTATTCCCTCCGCCCCAAATTAATCGAATTGTCTTCTTTATTATTTGAATTTTTCGATACCTTTTATTTGCGATTGTTTTATTGATCATTTGATATACTCCCTCCGTCCCATAAAACCTTTCTCCTTTCTTTTTTTCATCCGTCCCACAAAACACTTCTCATTTCTATTAAAAAGTCACTTTTACCCTTTACTTTTTCATACCCTACCTATCACATCATACCTTTTTACTAATAATCTATCCATCAAATCATACTTTTATCCATCACATCAAAGGACATTTTTGGAAATTCAATACCAAAATACACTATCTTTAAATCACTCCTAAAAAGCAAAAGTCTCATGTTTCACGGGACGGAGGGAGTATAAAATATGTTGTTCACAATAATTGAATTTTTGTTGTAGCTTTTTAAAATATACAAGTTTTTTTATTTTTATACTAATTTATAAATGAAATCATTCTTAAAAAGTTTAGAAAATCACTCTGAATAGGACTAAAAAAGAGAAAAGTATCAAAATAGGACTTTCATATTTTTTTACGAAATAGGGCTTCAAACTGTGGTAAAGTGGTTATAATGTGGCACTGTACATGCACACATTCATTATTATACTTTTTTGGTAATGTACATGACTATGTTTGGTAATGTAGGTCCTATTTCGGGAATAAAAACACAGAAGTCCTATTTTGGTATATATTCAATGTTTTAGTCCTATTTTTGTCTTTCTCCCTAAAAAGTTAGGATTTGGCATAATGTTTGATATAGAAATAACGTGCGAAATTGTATTGTTTTATATTGATTTTATTTACTAATTCGTATAGAAATAAAAGTAGAGATCGTACCGTTCAAAACTACATCAAAAATTTTATAAAATTAGGTGAGGTAAAAATATTTTATTTTATCAAATGATCAATAATAATAACGTGCGAAGAAACTAAAATTTTTTAAACGAACAATATGGTAATTGGGATTCTGGAATTAGATTTTTGGGACGAGAGGGAGTATAAAGTAATGTTAAAATCGGCCAGAAAGTTTCACCAAAATTATACTCCCTCCATCCCGGAAAACATGGAAGTTTTGATTTTAAAGAGGGATTTAAGAGGAGTGTATTTTGGTATTGAATTTCCAAAAATATCCTTTGATGTGATGGGTAAAAGTATGATTTGATGGATAGATTATTAGTAAAAAGGTATGATGTGATAGGTAGGGTATGAAAAAGTAAGGGGTAAAAGTGACTTTTTAATAGAAATGAGAAGTGTTTTTTGGGACGAATGAAAAAAGAAAGGACAAAAGTTTTCAAGGACGGAGGGGGTACATTTTTAAATTCTATTTTTTCCAAGTTAAAAAGTTTTATGTGACACAAGTATCAAATCAGTTAGAATATATTTTGAATCATCATATCAAAGTATTAAACATAACAAATATCAACATGCATCAACTAACGAGCAGTGATTTTAAACCCGGATCGGAGGTCGACCCAGCGGGGAGGATGGGTCCCAGGTCAATTCGGGTTTTTCCGGGTCGACCCGGTTTTTTCCGAGTTTTTCCGGGTTTTGGGAGGTTGGACACGACCGGTTGTGTGTCGGGGTCGCGGTTCAACCGGTCGGACCGCTCGGTCTGGTCCGGGTTTAATAACACTGCTAACGAGTGAAGTAGCAAATGAAAATTCATAGGAGTCCAAAGTATTGGATGAGTGAGTGTTTTCATTTGGAGGAGTAAAAGGGGCGTCTAGGGTGGGGGTACGGGGGTTGGATTGGGGTGGGGGTAGGGTGAGTTAGGGGTAGAAACTATCAATTTTAGAAATGGAGCACCGAAAGCGTCCGATATAGACGAGTGTCAACACGATTAATTAGTACACACACAATTATAAGTTATAACGTAACGATACATCATACCACCATACGAAGTACTGTATTAAACAACGTATCATGCAAGACTTATTGAATGACAAAATCACTGGAAGGAAAACCAACAACAAAAGTAAAGTCGCATGCATAATGCTGAGTTTGATTTTTCTAAGTCAAATTGAAGAAAACAAATTTGACAATCAAGTTAATTGGTTGACCAAATTTAATTTCCACGAATTTGATTTAAAAAAAGTCAAAATACTTATCATGTAAGTGAGGAGTATATTAGTTAACTAGCCTGCAGTTTTTCCTGATCTCTCCTTGGCTTTCGTCCAAAACGCCAAAATTTCCCATTTTGATCATGGCTTTACCAAAGGCTTTAAAGAACGAGTTTTGGTCCGAAGCGAACTGGGAGACCAGATCAGCTGTCCCCGGCACCAATGACGAAAGCAGCCCTTGGTCGGTCGCGAGAAGCCCTTTCTTGTTCATCAAGTTTTTGAAATAGTTGTTGTCGAAAGTGTCTGCGGTTGTCGCGTCAAGGTTGTTCAAATTGGACGATGCCGCGGTTACGTTTGGACAATTTGTCCTCAAGTTGGCTAAGAACGCGGGGTTCATCTCCGGGTCGGGTTTGCCCGTGTTGTTGAAGTTGTATAATCTGGGGAGGAACATGCGACATTGCGATCTTCCTATCGTGTGCCCGCCCGACAATGCCACAAGATCGGTAGCGTCCAATCCAATTTCTGCGAACTTATCAGCGATTATTTTCAAGCTGCTAAAGACCGTTCGGAGTCCGTCTGCTTCTCTCTTGTACGCGGCTCTGCTGTCCTTTCTCCCCAACATGACATTCCATGAAGGACCGCCAGACTGTTTTTTTTTTTTTGTTTACGAATTCATTTATTTTTTTCAATGTATCAAGAAATTAAATAAAGTGTGAGATGGTCAAAGTAATTAGAGTAAAAATTGACTAAAATATACCTGAGTAACGGAGGCCTCGGAGATAAGTGCGAGAATATCTGCACAAGAGACAACCCCGGGACAAGCGGCCTCGATGTCGGACTTAATGGCGTCCACCACCTCGAACCCCCTGGCGGAGTTGAGGTTGGGGAGCGCTGCTTTCTCGCTCAAAATATTCTTCCCATTTTTAACCTGGTTGTCCAACAAAATCGAGGCATCGCATCCCTGCATGCATGCAAAAACACGTACACGTCCCTACCTAATTAATTAAAACATAATTCCAATTCTTATTTGGACTTTGGAGTACTATATTGTTAAATTAAACTTGATCAAACATGTAGTACGTTGAAGGCCAGAATAATATACTTTCCTCCGTCCATTAATTTGTTTTTCACTTTTCTTTTTGGAATGTCAAAAAATTTCTTTCTTAATCTCCGTGCCAAGTCAAACCGAGAAAGAAATTTTTGGACGGAGGGAGAACTATACTCAGGTAATAAACTTCGACAGGATAAATATGTACGCATTTGTGTATGTGGTTAAGCCCAAGATCTTACGTGGACGGCGCAGTCGTGGAAATGAAGACGAAGGAGACTAGCGGGCATTCGTATATCGGCATTCATGGCCTTCTTAACCCCATCGCTTACGATTTCGAGCACACGAGGGCATGACGTTGCATAATATGTCTCGCTTAGCTGAGCCTCTACAGATTCAGAGAAGAAGAAGAAGAGGAAGAAGAGTAGTGTAGCATTAGAGAGTGTGGGAATGGCCTTCATTTTGTGGGAGAGGTTTAGCTAAAACACGATCTATTAATTGTGTGGTGAACCCTCAAGTTGGATGGTATGGTCATTAATTACCAAATATGTTGGCACTATATATAGCTAGCTAGTGAAGGTATGTGTTTTTTATTTTTCAAAAAATTAAGAAAATGTCATAAAAATATTCCCTCACTCTAAATTTAGTCATACATTTTCTTTTTTCACTTGTCTAAATCATTTGTCCATAACTCCAAGCATATTGAATATTCAATGAAGACATTTTGATAAATTGACTAGAATATCTTAGACATAGCCTACAAACGTCATAGAGTAATGCTAGAGTCACAAATAACTACACAAATGATATGAGATTATTTATCAGCATTATATTATACTCCCCCGTCCCCAATTTGATTACAAATTGCGGGTTACGGAGTAAAATTTCCTACTTTTTGAAACCATTTTATTTACAAATTAGTATATCAATAAGATATAAAAATTACATATTAAAAAACTACGTCAAAAGTTTTACAAACCAAGAGGTGACAAGAATATTTTATTTTATCAAATACTTAATAAAATCACGTAAACAAACAAAAGTTATCAAGAGGAGAGAAAAAAAAATTGTAATCTATTTAGGGACAGAGAGAGTAACTATTAGTATTATTAATGGTTAAATTTTTATTATATTACATAGTATCATTCTTTATAGTCAGTTAATTATATTATTATTAGAAAATCGTATTCTTGTTAGGATATTTGTTACCATTTATAATTAGGATTCCTAGTTGATTTGGTTTCCTTCCATGGTATGGATTCTTTAAGTGTGCTAGCTATAAATGTATCCATTTACATGAATTATTAATCAATGAATGAAGAAAATATTTTTTCCCCAAACCTATTTCTCCTTCGTCTCTCCCCCTTGTCGATCGGCATCTTCTCCCTCCTTCCTCTCATCTTCTTCTCTTTTCAATTTCCAATTCTTCCTTCTAAATCTCTCAATCTTTTTTGGAGCTTGAAGGTGCTCAAAATCCTTTCTTACCTTGATACGCTACTGTATCAATTGGTGCTTTTATTTTTACACTCCAAAAAAATATAAAAAAACTTTAAATACACAAATGGCAACTTTGTGCACTTTCTGAAGTGAATCAAATGATTTTAAATAATTAAAAGAAAAAATTTTAAAGACACAAATTGCATGTTTGTGTCCGAGTTGTATGTGACTCTAGCATTACACTCCATCCGTCCCTGAAAACATGAGAGATTTTTTATTTTTGAAGAATTTAAGGAGAGTGAATTTTTGTGATGAGTTTCCAAAAATGTCCTTGGATGTGATGGGTAAAAGTAGATATTGATGGATAGATTAATAGTAATAAGTGTGATGTGATATTTATGTTTCGAATTACTCCCTCCGTTCCTTTAAACTCTTCCACTTTTGACTTTTGACAAAAATAAGGAAAGTGAAATTTTGATTGACTTTCCAATTTTGCCCTTGATGTGATGGGTAAAAGTAAGATGTGATAGTTTGGTTATTAGTGAAAAAGTATGATGTGATAGGTAGGGTATGAAAAAGTAAGGGTAAAAGTGGTTTTTTAATAGAAAGTGGAAGTGTTTTAGGGAATTCAAAAAAAACGAAAGGAGAAAGGTTTTGTGGAACGGAGGGAGTAGTAGATATAAAAATAATCTTTTAATATAAATTAGAAATGTTTTTTGGGACAGATACAGGGGAGGGAGTATTACTCAACGACCTAAACATTTAGTGGTAACAAATCGCATGAAAGGGTTATTTGACATTTTAAACTCAACTTTTTATTTGAATTAGAATTTTTAAAATTTGTTCTAGCTTTTCGTTTGTTATGTGCCTTAATAGTCAAGAAATTGCGAAAGAAACGGTACATGTTTTTTCTAACTTTCACAAGTCTTCATAAGTCTCCTTAATCAGGGGAACCATTAGGGCATTTTATTAAGGTGGGGGTTTTATTACCCATTGAAGTTCGGTGAAGAAAAATAAAAATTAAGTCCTTTTATTTTTTATAATATTTTCATACGGAGTATTTAATTTTTGTACATTTTATAAAATATTTCTATCTCATCTAAAATATCTAAAATACCTTCAAAATAAATTTACGCGAAATACATAATAAATGGGCTGTGTTTTAGATATTTTATGTGGCGGTAGAAGTGTTTTGTGTTTGACATGCATAAAAAGTAAGGAATCGAAAAATCTAAAGGTACCCCAGGTAGTGTACTCCAAATGTACATCTCCCTTCTCATAGACACCTGTTGTTTGTGTGAAACACAGACAATGGGTGTCTATGTGTGTCTATGAGAAGGGTACACCATCTGGTACCCCTAGCGAACCCAAAAAACTAAAGGTAGAATTATTCCATATATTATTTTTGCCTTGTTTAATTGGGAAGAGTGTTTTCAATTAGTGTTAGCGCTTTGAATAAAATATTAATGGTGTAGATTAAATTGGAAAACGCATAGGTGGCCCGGAGGGTGTGCAAAGTGGCCAACCGCACAGGGTCCCATATTTTTAAATTTATCATTAATTTTGAAGCATAAGTAATCTAAAATAATAAAATAGCGCTCAAAATATAAATTTCGGACTGGGCCAATTTCATTTTTCATTTTTCGAGCCCGACCCTGGTAAAACGCTAACGCTAAAAACTACCATCAGATAGTTTTTTCAAAACGCTAACGCTAATCTCTAACGCTGATGTGAAACAGGGCTTTATGAGTAAAATGGGAGGAGCGAGTATTACGCAAGAGAGTACGTCAAGCTTCACACATTTGTCTGAAACCTTTTTTTACTCCGTATATTTTACGGTAACAAATAGTAGTGTTTCTATCAAGGACCTAGCTAGAGATTCAGGTGAAAAATTTACGCCTAAACAAATTACTCAGTAATGTATAAAAAAACATTAAATATATACTCCGTATAATTAAATATATACTCCGTATAATTAGTGAGATTAATGAGAAATGATATTTGCACTCCATTTTTTGTTATTCACACTCTAAAATGCACTATATATGTGAGAAATTAATTAATATAGTGTATTTTGGAATGTTAATAACAAAAAGTGGAATGTAAATATCATTCCCAAGATTAATGTCCATGCTTCAAAAAAACAAGAATTTACCAGTAATGAAGTATATTACAACTCTGTTCGTTTAATTTTAGTTGTTACGTACGTCTATAACAAAAAGTTAAAACAAATGGCAAGAAGTGGGAGCAATAATACCAAAACTGACAACATATAATACCAAAAAATAGTCTAGAACATCAATATATATAATGCTACATCGTCACAGTGCGATAATTTTTTTCGATAAATAAAAAATAAAGACATGTCACTCCTATTTTGAGGATAAAGGGTATATATTACTTAATCACATTTTTGGTGATTTCATTTTTTTTTCTTTCACTTTGTATACTCTCTCCCTAAAATAAAGTAACACTTTTGTATCCTCTCTCCTCTCTAATATATACAACGCTTAAGTCATTAATATCTCTATTTATATATTTCAAAACTATGGTTCAATTGAAAACTATTGATGTTACATTTATATCGAACATAATGTATTTTTTTTGAATATCGTAGTCAATGCTAACAAAATTTGACAAAATCTGGACGGATCGAAGGGAGTAGTTTATATGGTTGTTGGGTGCGGGCTTCAATATGCGGAGCGAGACGCTGGTCCCAACCGGAAACACCGGCCCCTTCCCTGATCCGGACTCGATGTCATGGGGATCATTTTGTCGAAAAAGTCAAGTTGGAAGATGTGAATGGTGGGGATGACACACATATATACACCAGTGACACCACACCTAACAGTCCAACATTTAAAAAAAAATCACTCTTTATAAAATTAAATACTACTCCGTACTATACAGCATACTCCGTAATATATAACTCATAGACCAGTGATATTATAGTGACTCTCTCATATGCAAAATCAGAAGACTAAATAACTTTAAGTGTAAATTGGCATTCTAAGCTTTATTGGTCAATATGCTAGAGAGCAAAGTAAATGTGCTTTTCTAGAAATAAGAGACTTTATTAATTTAGACGCCGGGGAAGATGGATCCAACTGGTTTTCGGTCATTCGCACTCGTCTAATTCAAAGTTGGACCGCCCGACACACTTTACTAAACATATCGGGTTGCGCTTTATTTCAATTCAAAGGTGAAAATTATTCGAAATAATTCTGTTTTTTAACGGTCTCTTAAAAACAATCTCTCTTTTTATTGTTTTGAAAAATAATCACAACTTTTCAAGTTGTTGCCCATCCAGCGTCGTCTTACATTTTTTGTGGAAAAAGTTTGCGGGATGATGAGTTGGAAAATTTTTTATTTTGTTATTTGTTCAAAATAATCTCACTTTTCGTAGAGTTGCATAAAACAATCTCCAAATCCAATTGAATTGTGTATCATAATCCCTTTGAGTAATTAAGTACTCCGTAGTTGCGGAAAAATGTTAGTGTAGTGGCAAAAAAAATTAGTTCAAACTTTTCTATATTAAATATTCGAGTCTCACTCATGCGCTTAAGAAGTTGAGATCATAAGATCAAACAGATACGTAAATGAACTGCTAAAAAAAGTACGTACTCAAGTAATTAATTTTTTATTTAACTAAAAAAAATATAATCCTTAACAAAATTGCTTGCCATAAGATGAGGGAGGAAAACATTGGTAAATTTACATGAAAATAGGGGTCAAAATTTTATTTGGTACGATTTATGAAAAATGTATCACTAATTATAGAGTTATAGATAACTTAGACGACACAATCTAAACAAACTTGTCATCTGTGCACATTCCTAAGAGAATAAAATGATTTTAAATAATTACAAAATCAAAATCAAAATCACAAATGACAAATTCATGTAATTTGTATCCAAGTTATTTTTTATTATAGCATTACTCAAAATATATATGTTTGGGTCTTATTTGGTGCAATATTCCTTTTGAGCAGTATGAAATCCCTCCATATAAATTATAATGGGCTATTGAGAGATTTAACTACAAAAACTAGCTTCTTTATAGCAGATTAGTGTGACACAATCCAAAGGGGATG